TTAGAAATTAAAAACTTTGGCTACATGAAAATTCATGAGATCATGAGTCTATTAATTTAGATTATTAACAAAAAAAAGAAAATTTCTACTACCCAACCGGACTTCGAAATGCCAGGTAATGCAAAACGAATTTCAATTTTGTGTGGCCTAATATAATCATTATAACGTACATATATCTGGTTGAATACTGAAATGATTCAGGTAGAGGGGGAGAGTTTGAACGACCTTTTTGATTTCTTTAGAGGAAATTTTAATAGGAGGGATATTGACTTCTGGCAAATAGTAGTAATTAGTTTTTTCGTGGTGAGTAATAGTAGTTTGGTGGGCTTCATCAAATCCGAGTGTTTGACTAGGAGGGGGTTTTTGTCCCTCAGAAAACAGTGATCAGTGTTTGTTAATTTCCTGTTGGAGAGCCTTCTACTTTCAAAGTATCTTCGCTGGCAATAATTGAAAAATTTAGAGGGTTTATCAGTTTGAAGAATTAAGCATTTTTAAATTTTTTTCGATAAATATGATTAGAATCTTGATTTTTTAGTTATATCTACAGATTATCTGAAGACTAATTTACGGGTAAGGTTTGACTCAAAGAGTCAAGTTTTTATTGAAGTCCGGTCCCAAGTCAAATTTGGAATTTGACTTACATTAGATGTGCATCTTGAATGTTTAAATATAGCAAAAAAAAATATATACTTTGCATGCATTCATATCTCTTTATTTAATATACGTACAAAATGTATGTGCAATGCTAGTCAAGTTCCAAGTTTGACTTGGGACTAAACTTTAATAAAAACTCTACTCTTTGAGTCGAGTCGAACCGAACAGAATTGTTAACATCCCTAATGGTATTTTTTCAAGAAAGCTGATGCTTTTTTTTTAAATGTTCGATGCAGTATGATTGTTTTTTTAAAGCCCGTGCAGTGACATATGATTACATAGTTATGTAGTTCGATACTAATACTAAAGGTGTAAGTGCAATGCCATAACTGGTTATAATTATAATGAATTATGGCATTTTTGTTATGTTTATTATAATTATGCATTGTGCTCACACCTCTATGTAGTAGCTTCATTATACTGTAGCATATATTACAAAATGATTTTATAATATATATGCTTGGGTTTATACAAATAATACACCCCATGTAAAATATTACCCATGTGATATTTAAATTTACCTAAACCTAACCTAAACCTAGTGTGTCCATATATTTTTGTCATATAGTATTATCATCTAAAAAAATTTTATTTTTTATATTACTGTATAGTACAAAAATTGTATAATGTCTTACTAATATCCAAAAAATTAACTTTATTCCAAATATTTTGTTGGACAATTCCTACAAAATTGAACAAACTTTTTTTATAGCCTCAACAAACATACTAAAACATATTTAAAACCTATTTTTCCTTTCCCTAAAAACAAATGAAACTATACTATACTAGGACAATGCTATTAATAAATATTTTGATTATTTTAACCATAAAATTTTTGATACAATCACATACCCAACTACTTTTGATATTACACTATTTGATCCAGTTAGCCTAACCAAAATTCATACTTATTTCATGCTAGAGACCGTAAAAACAAAGTAATTATCCAAAGAAAATCACCTATCTTTTTAAGATTTGTTTCTTACAAAATAGATGATAGAGAACCTTTTTATTTCTAGCATTTTCTTTTCAAGTTTTCTACTAGATCTGAACA